AGATTCCTGGGGCCTACTGGGAACAAGACTTCTAAAAGGCAAATATGTCTGGAAGGCTGTGGTGCAAGGCCACTTTTGCTGGCTATAAGCTTATTATAAGTGAGGCCTCCAGATACAGAGAGAGCAGAGCACACGGCTCTTCTTAAAATTGAAGGTGTTTATGCCCGAGATGAAACTGAATTCTACCTGGGCAAGAGATGTGCTTACATGTATAAAGCAAAAAACAACACAGTGACACCCGGAGGCAAACCAAACAAAACCAGAGTGATCTGGGGAAAAGTAACCTGGGCCATGGAAACAGTGGCATGCTTCGTGCCAAATTCCGAAGCAACCTTCCTGCGAAGGCCATTGGACACAGAATCCGTGTGATGCTGTACCCTTCCAGAATTTAAACTAATGAAAAGTAAATAAAAGTGGATTTGTAAAAAAAAAAAAGGATAGCCTATGACAGTCTTATAAATAAAAACATGAAACTATCTGTGTAAGTAAGCCCCCAGATCCCACTCAACAATTAAGAGATACAGATGACAGATAGGATTTCTTCCATGAATGGATGACATAAAAGAAAGCCTGCAGAGATCTAAGAATGTCAAAACTAAAGAGATATGTCACACATTTGAGTGATAGAACTACAAAGAAATGAAAAAAGTTGTAAAACATGGGCCAACAGATCTTCCAATAGAGCAGTGCCTGTAAGGAAGACACAGCCACTGCTCAGGGTCTGCCTGGACATGACAAGGGTGTGTCCATACATATAATGTAATAAACAGATTTCTCTACTTGTATTACTCTTACAAATAACAAACAAAAAAATAAATGAATAACAAACTGTGCTGTTACAGTCCTAATTGTGACGTTTGGGCTTTTCCCTAACTCCTATCACAAGTGTTATTAGGAAAAGCAGCTTTTGGAATTCTTTGGAACCGATTTACAGTCTGTTTAAAACTAAGACAAGCAGCATCTGAGCAATGGCACTGCTGTTACTGCTACAGTTTACATCTGAAGATAAAATCCCACTTACTAGTTTGCTGCTGCTGCTGCGGCTGTGTATTAAATCCTCCAAATCCCAGGCCGGTGCCCAAACCAGTACCTAAACCAGTGCCAGTTCCCGTCGCTGTGCCAAAACCAGTACCGAAGCCAAAACCTTTGTTCTGAGTGCCACCGAGAAGGCCTGTCAATGAAAAATCAGAATCGAGTAAGCTCGGAGACAGTTCTTAGTGTCTACCATATTTCCGTCTCCAGGTGACTTAGGACAGCCTCTTACCTGTGCTGCCTGTGTTTGTTGGGGCAGAGAAGCTGAATGCAGAGCCAGCAGTTGTAGTTGTTCCAAATCCTCCAAACCCACCTAATTAAAAAAAAAAAAGGATAAAACATAAAGGTTCCTTTGTGTACACAGACGGAATTTCATTTCAAATGGCTTTGCTTAATACAAAGAATGTACTGATCTAAATTTTCCCTTTTTAAAATATCATTAAAACCCTACACTATTACTAACACACACTGCAAGAAATAAATGACAAAGTATTTTAAATAGAAATAACACAACGTAATACATATTCCTTTAACTAAATGGATAACATGATTAAAAAATACATTAACTTTTGACAAAACTCTAAAATGACATATAGGTACTTTTAGACCAGCTACTACAAATTCAAATGTCTATATGATTTTACACCAATGAAATTAATGCAACTAAGTGTTTACTGACATTGGAGCTGTTTAAAAAGTAGCTCTGAGTCGAGAGGTGGTGGCCTTTAATCCCACCACTCAGGAGGCAGAGGCAGGTGGATCTCTTCGAGTTCAAGGCTCTGGAAAAAAAAACAAAAAACAAAAAACAAACAAACAAAAAAACCCAAAGGAGCACCAAGCATGTTATGGCAGCAGATAGCTTTGCCAGTTTGCAACCTTAATTTTCATGAATTAAATTGCATCTACATTAACTCACATTTCTCCTTAGTGAAGCAACTTTTCCAAGGAAACATACCAGTAGGCTTACCTCTGTAAAGTAAGTGTCTTTCTCGGAGGTAAAGGAAGAAAAGCAAAAGGTAGCCAAGGCTACCATGGACCTTGGCAGCACATCATGGCAACTCTGATAGATTTTATTTTTAAGTAGGTCTAGAAACAAAATTAATCTTAACGTACCTAGCAATATATGAATAGAATGAAATGCTAACCCAATTTTTAAAAGAAGTATTGGCAGTATTTACCTATTTATAAATATACTGCCAAAGACTTTGAAAACAAACATCTGAAACATAAATGCTGAGTTATACTCCAGGTTTTCTGAGATTCTAACTTGAACCTCATATAAGGACAGATGTGGTGGTATGTGCCTATAATCCCATCAAGAGAAGCTAAAACAGGATTAGAACTTCTAATGAGCCTAGACTACACAGTGAAAAGCTGTCTCAAAAATTTTAACTAGTTTTAATAAATTTTATGGTTATGGGTATTAAATCCAGGACCTTGCACATACTAGGCAGGTAAATACTCTACCACTAGGCTACACTCTTTGACCCTTAGCAATACAATTCAGATTTAGTAAATTAGTGCATAGGCTACTGCACACGTAACTTAGTAGATTCTACTGCAATGCTGCCAGTTAAACATTTTGATGAAACACCCAAGTACTGTCCTTAGTTCCCTTCTAACTTCCTGCTTTCAAAAGAATAACTATGTTATCCCAATTGGCTACACAACAAAAACACTAGCTAGTATCTTATTATATTTCAAATTACCAAAAGTGCTTTATTAGTAATAGTAGACCAGTATGGATACAAAAAAAGTAATTTTAAAGGTCTTTGCTGAGGCTAAATTAACATATTTAAAAGCAATCAAAACAATTATATTCATACAACTCAAAACTTTACAGTGACAACTTCAAATGGACATGAAATCAAGCAAATATAAACAGGCTTATTTGTTGCTGTTGAACTATGTGGTTTGCTTTATTCTGAAACATACATTTCAAAATAAGGTTTGCCCAGTGCCAATTTTAAGCAAAGTAGGAAAAGCAAACACAGCAAGGGCACTTCTAATGTATCTTAACGAGTCCCTTTATCTTTGGGATTTTCAAGTATATTTCACATTATTTTCAACTCAGTGAATGGACATAATATCTGGCTTTCCAAGTAAGTTCAGGAAGAGATGTTTACCAAATGCATATAATTGGCATGGGCAGAAGTGGTATAACATAGACTATGGACAGTAAATTCATATACGAGCAGCTGAGGGTCACTTGATTTTTTTTCAAGAGTCATTTTATGCTGAGCTTTTATAATCCTACTTTAAATTGAGACATACACATCCATCATATTTGTGTTTTGAAATCTTTTAGTATTCTTCAAACCCGTAGATTAAAAAAAAACTTCATAATTCTCTTTTTGAATGCAGAGATGTCTAACATGCATTTTAGAACTCAATGCCATCTGGTAAATTAAACTGCTCATTGACTTTCCCTAAAATGGCAGCGAAGAATTGGCGATTCTTTCAACGATTCCATCTCTTATAGGAATACATACTAACGTGTTTAGGTGATGGAAGAAAAACATCGTCATATAGACTGAAAAACAAAACAGGTCACCGCTGTTCGTATAAGACTTGTTTCTCTTGGAAACACAAGGACAATAGGATGAAATCCCGATGGAATATGTATAAAAAATGCAAAACGACTGCAGGAGTCCAAGAATCCCAGGGAAACGCTGAGCTTATACCGCAGCTAATAACATTCTATCCAAAATAAATTCCATTGCTAATTCCTATCATTTTGAAGCTGTACTCTGTATGATTAAATGCAAACCCAACAAAGGAGCATTCTAACTCTCAAGGCTGTCCAAAAAAAACACATCTTTTAAGACAGTCAAAACAATTTGATCTCAGGAAACGAACCCCTTCTCTTAGTAGACAAGGGTCATTTTTTCCCCCAAACTCTAGAAACATGGGAACATTCTTGGACTCCAGCCCCCAACCCTCTTTACACACATGACCCGCAGTATCTACCTGCACTCGTCAGACTGTTACCAAAATTGAATGGAGTCGCCGAGGTGGTAGAAACACCGAAATTCCCAATATTAAAGTTCACTGTAGGGTTAGCAGTTAATCCGAAACCCCCAAAATTAAACCCACTGGCGGTGGAGTTGGCAGTCTCAAGCCCACCAAATCCTGATAGACGTGGAGGCAGAGAAACAAAATTTGAAAAAGTGAGGGGGGGGGAGAGAAAAGGAAAAGAGAGCAAAATAAGAATTACAAGAATCAGCAAGAGGTTTCACAGCGTGAATAAACCAAACCGGCGCCGGAACCGGTTAAGATAGCCGAGGAGGTGGGGACACAGAGGAGCAAGGGCACCGGGGGCCGGGACCAGCAACCCCCGGGCTGGGGAGGGAATGGAGGACGCTGCGGGCTCCAGCCTTGGCCCTCTGGGCCGGGAGGCCGAGGCAGACGAGGGGTCGCAGGGCCCCGGGAAGGGAGAGGGGCGTAGCCTCCAGCCTCTCCCGGGCGGAGTCCCCGGTGGCGGGAAGAGACGCGGCGGCCGGGCCACGCGGGATGCGCGCGCCCTGCGAGCCCCAGGCCGAGCCTGAGCAGCCCGCGGCCCTCCCGCCACCGCCGCCCGCCTTTTCCAAATGTCCCCAAGGAGTCCCGCGTGCCAGGGCCACCCCGGACCCCCAGCCGGACAGTATCGGACCGAGGGGGCGGGCCCAAGGCTTCCGTTCCCCGGAAGAAGGTGGTCCAGGGGCTGACTCACCCGCGGGTGCCGCGGTAGCTGCAGAGGTGCCAGAAGTGCCCGAAGGAGCCCCAAAATTGAAAGCCATGTCGCGGGAGCAGAGCCTTGGTTGTCCCGGGCTCCCGCGGCGTGCCGCGACGCTCAGTGCTCCCTGCTCTTCCGCCCGGTCGGGAAACGCCGGGTCGTATCGTTAGTTCCGCCTCCTCTCGGGACGGACGGGAACGGCCCCCACCCCCACCCCGTTCCGCTCACTTCCGGGGGTGTGCTGTGGCTTCAAGTGGCGTGGGGCGTCACAACAAAGGGGAGGCGAGGGGGAACTGGGCGTGTGTATGTGTGTGTGTGTGTGCGCGCGTGTGCATGTGAGGGGTCGCCCGCCAGCTCTTAGAAGCCTCTTCAGCGAGGTGAGCGGCTGCGGAGATTGCGTGCCTCACTCAGGGTGTGACCGTGCTGCCGCGACCACCCAGCAGAGGGCCTTCCCGGAGGACATGAGGATGGAGATGAAGCAGCTGGGAAAGGGGCGTTTAGGAGTGATGGAGTGATAATGGGGATAGCAGTAGCGCATGTGTGTACTGTGTGGCACGCACTCGTTTCTGCATTGTTTAATTAACCCCTAGCTGTTTTACCGACCAGCATTTACCACTGCTGTCCTTGAACAAGAGGGAGGACTGATCCGAATGAAGCAAATGAACCCTGTAAGCTAAAGCCTGTGCCCGGCATCGCTTTTCTCAGGAGCGCTTAATCCTCAACCTCACAGAGAAGATTCTAATTGACTAATTTACACAGGTGAGATGGGAGCGTTCCCAAAGTCATTTTGCTGGTACATCCTAGAATCTAGTTTGGAACAAGATTTTTCTTGGCTTAACACCAATTTTTTTCTTTTAAAAATATTAATTGTGCCGGGCAGTGGTGGCTCACTCCGGAGGCAGAAGCAGGAGGATCTCTGAGTTCGTGGCCAGCCTGGTCTGCAAAAGCGAGTTCCAGGACAGGCTCCAAAGCAATACAGGGAAACCCTGTCTCGAAAAACCAAATATATATGTCAATCACAAGGAACTGAGTCACACCAGGACGTTTTCATACAAATATGTATTTTGAACATATATTCCTACCCCTAAATTTTCGTTGTTATCCCCCTCCCCTCCCATTAGTTTCCTCTGTCTCCCTAGCAGTTTTATTTCAATTTCCATATGTATTTAAACTTAGGAAACATAAATGAGAGAAAACATTTGTCCTGTGACTGACTTAACTTAATATGATTATCTGTAGTTATATCCATTTTTGTGCAGATGACATAACTTCATTCCTTGTGGTTGAAAATTCCTTTGTGTGCATGTACACCATCTTTTCTTTATACATCCCTCTGTGTTGGGCAGCTAGGTTTGTTAACTATTGTGACTAGTGCAGCAGTAAACACTGATGTGTGTGTGTGTGTGTGTGTGTGTCTGTGTGTCTGTGATAGGCTAACATATAGCTGAGGCTTGTGGTAGATCTAGTTTTATTTTTTTCTTTGAGAAACCTCTTTGCCTCAATTTATTTTACTTTGTGTGTGTGTGTGTGTGTGTGTGTGTGTGTGTGTGTGTGTAGGCAGGGTGCATGTGCACATGTGTGTGGAAGTCAGAGATTGACATGGTGTCTTCCTAATTTACTGTTGTTATTATTATTATTACTACTGTTGAGACAAGCTGGCTCACTGAATCTAGAGCTCATCGATTTGGCAGGAGTGGCTGGCCAACAATCCCCAGGGGCCTCCTGATTCTGTGCGCCCAGTGATAGGTGATAGCTGACCACCACTGTTCCCAGTGATAGGTGATAGCTGACCACCACTGTTCCCAGTGATAGGTGATAGCTGAATCCCACTGTGCCCAGTGCTAGGCTTGGTTTTAAACCTGGGTGCTGACAGTCAAGCTTACACCCTCAAGCTTGCACAGCAAGCACAGCACTGCCTGGCTGTTTCTCCAGCCTGTTTTTAAGATTACCATTACATTTTGTTTCCTTGTAGATTATGTCCAGGATTTCATACTCTTTCCTGAGAGCGATAAGAAAATCTTTGAAGAGCTTTTAGACCAGAGAGCGTTATGATCAGAATTTATATTTAAGAAATAAAAGCAATGAGACATCCATGCCTATGATCTCAATATTCAGGAGACATGGGCAGAAGGATTGAGTTAGAGGCCAGTCCAGGATACTCGGTGGAAGTATCTCAAAACATTTTTAATGTGTGTGTGAATGTGAAGGACCTAGGTCCCTAGTATATGAAATGTCTGGAAAAGCAAATCTCTGCACAGACTGTAGATTATTAGTTGCTATGATGATGGGTGGGGGTGTCTACACACTAGCCTAGATCTCATTGAGAGGGTGAAAAATGTACAATTCAGTTTACTAAAAATCATTGCACTGTACATGCCAAGTGAGTAAATTTCATAGTGTGTACAGTTTATCTTAAAGGTGTTTAAAATCTTTTTTATATTTGATGAGTGAAGAAAAGTTATTACTGGAAATGAGACTTTTATTTTATGTTAAAACTATGTACATGTTTCTGTACTCTGTATTTTGTGGTTCTTAGTCTAGATTTTTTTTCAAGATAGGGTTTCTCTGTATTGTTTTGGAGCCTGTGCTGGAACTCACTCTGTAGACCAGGCTCACCTCAAATTCACAAGAGATCAGGCTGCCTCTGCTCCCTAGTGCTGGGATTAAAGGCGTATGCCACCAACGCCCAGATCTCGATTGTTCTTTAAATATTGTCCTAAGCATATATTTTAGCACCTTATTGGTCTTTTCAGTATGTTTTCTGGGTTCTTCTAATCCTAGATTTGAAACATTTAGACTAGGTGTGGTACATAGGTGTACTTGTCTCTGTATTGCTTTGGGTAAGAAGTCAGTATGAGGAGCTTCCCTTGTGATGCAAGCTGTTGGGTTTGGAGTACCTAGAAAGGACATATACTAGGGACCAAGATCTTTCACATCAGAATATCTGTAACACTAACCAGGGAACTTTATGATACCCTGACTCTACTCTGATTTCAGGAGGAAGGTGTAATATTGAGATGGGTAGTTTGAAAGATATTCTGAATTTTAGAACTATTAGCTTCAATCTAAAAGTTCCTAGAATCAAAAGCCTCAGACCCCCAATAGTGTCTGATCTTCTAGCCCCCCTTCTTGGTGGGCTGTGAGGATTTCAGTTGGTGTGGTTTGGGGCAGCCCAAGGTAAGGACATCACTGCAGGCATATGGTTTGACGACTTGGGAAGAAGCAGCACTGGGGAACTGGCAGGAAAGACCAGGAAATGGGTAAACATGAATAGAAAGCAATTCCTAGAAAGCAGTTCCCAGGTGAGGAAGGAGGGAGGGAAGGGGATGGAGGGGAGAGGGCAGAGGGGGGTGGGGAGAGACCCTCCTAGGTCCTAGAAAGCAGTTCTAGACCAAGGAGCCTGATATGACCCTGAGGGAGGACACTGATGGAAAAACTGCTGGTCCTTCCGTTTAGGGTTGCCTCGGTGTTTGGTATGAACTCTCCCTACATTATCAGGGGCTTCCAAGTCAGAAGAAAACCCTGTGACAGAAAAGCAGCCACAGAGTCTGCATGGAGTGACCTACCTTTCACAGTTATAATTATAAGTGACTTCAAGAGTGTGAATTGGGAATGTATCAGCGGAGGCAAATTTCTCAAATGGAACTCATCAAATGAGAGACAGTTCACACAGCAACTTCATGTAAACTTTTTTTTTTAATTAGTGAAACACTTCATTGTATTATGGGTAGAAATGAAATTATGTCAAGAATCACAAGAAATGAACCAACTGTGTAAGGTACATGAAGAATATAGAGATCAGGCACAAACGATTTACACTAGTAACAATGCCCAGAGGACCCTTTGTCGAGTTCACAACACAAACAAGTTAAAGATTAGCCCCCGTAAGTGGAAACCCCCATAGGGGTTAGCTGTGCAGTCCTCGTTCCATTTGACCATTAGTGATCTCTGTAGACCATGAGAAAGTTAAGTCGACTGGGAAGAGCCTGGAACCTACCTGGAAATGCCCATACCTTGCGCTGTGCCTTCCCAGTTCCCTGCCATCCTATGGTGTGAGAATGCTGATGGCCCCACAGCCTTTGGAACCTTCCCAGGATATAATGGTCTCAGGAGAGTGAACCCAGAGACCAGCTTGCTGTTTTCAACCCCACACAAAATGGGTACATTTGTTGTTAGTCAACTTATAATTCCGACTGTGGCTTATGGTTTTGCCACCAACCTTTTAGAAGGAAAATATCAAATGTGATTTTAAGCCATCACGATCCATAACCATGGCACTAATAAAGAATTAATCTATTTTTGGTCTCTTTTTATATGTGAGATTTAGCCTACTATGTACATCATTAACTGCTGTAATTTCTGTTTAAAAATAATCTCCTCAGAGATGAGTATATCCTGAAAATAGGAAAGAACCAATTAGTATGCACTAGCTTACCAATTTATTAGTGTGGATAAGTAGTTGCATAAAGACAGTCAGGTGTAGTGCACACCTGTAGTCCCAGCTCTCAGGAGGCTGAGACAGGAGGCTTCCATAAGTTCAAGGTCAACTTGTGCTACATAGTGAGTTCTAAACCAGCCTGAGCTACAGAGTGAGACCCCGTCTCAATGCATGAAGACCAAGGTAAGCTAATTACCTAGTTAAATATTGATAAGGTCTAAAGATATTTGTCATTATTAAACATCAAGTATTTTCAATTAATCTTCACATTTTGGTTTTTTGGGGAATCTAATATTTGTACCTTGCTTTGTAGGAAAGGTGTAAATTTAATGAATTTGTCCCTTCAAGAATAGACACAGCCAAGCATGGTAACTCACTGATCCCAGAATTCAGGAGGCAGAAGCAGGTGGAGCTCTGTGAGTTCAATGCCATCCTGGTCTACACAGTGAGTTCCAGAACAACCAGGCCTAGGTGGAGAGACTGTCTCAAAACACCAAAATAAAAAAGAAGGGAAATGTCACATATTGCTTTAGTGTCAAAAGAGGAAAATCTGGGCTTGTAGACTAAATCAACATTTTACCTCCATGTATGCGAAATCTCAGTTTTTAAATTTTTTTACACTGAAATTCAGTTTTAAATAAGAAAATTCAGTTTTCATGAAATTATATGAGATTTTAGCCAAATAATACATAAGTAAGGTTTCCTCATTAAAAATTAGTGATGGGCTCTGAAAAGCAAAGATGATACCGATACCCTCCATGACGGCTGAGGTCTGATGGCTGTGACCTGCTGTCCTTCAGGGACCTTCCAGAGAGAAGTAGCCAGCTCCTTTTCAGAACCCCTCATCTGAAGTACTTCTGTCTATCACTCTAAACACTTGCCATTCCGTCGGAAAAATGATTGTCACAGGAAGCAGAGAGCACTTAGTGACAGTGAACCACAAAACACTGGCTGGGACTAAACCTAAGGGATGAATTTAAAACTTTATTTTCAAAGTCTTGTCCAAATGAAATGCCTCCCTGGACCTATATGTAATGTGAGCTATGGGCAGATGAATTTCCAACATTCGTAATTTTATAAATAATCATTCAGTATTTGAGATCTATATGTAATATAAGCTATGGGCAGGTGGATTTCCAACGTTTGTAATTTTACAAATAATCATTCAATATTTGGGATCTATATGTAACATAAGCTATGGGCAGGTGGATTTCCAGTGTTTGTAATTTTACAAGTAATCATTCAATATCTGGCAGTCACCGTCATTCATATCACCTTGCTGTTTGGCAAAGATGCTTGGGGGATATGCCATTGATTCCCTTCTCCCAGAAGCATGTTCTTACATCAAGATAGCTTTGACTAAAGCTATAGCTCACTGAACTGTATTCTAAATGAACTGTCTGTCTGTCTTACCCTCCCCAACATCCTCTTGCTCCACAAAAGCACAACTTTAAAATCCTCAGGAACTCAAAGCTATCTATGCACAGACACCACCCCACCCTACCCCTTTCCCGTGTGACTCCTACCCACATAAAATAGACTAAGTTATTTCCCTGAAAGGGTTACAAACTGGAGGTGAGAGTGAAATGTAAGATGTAAGGTCTCAAGGAAAGCAGACACTAGTCTGTGTGAGTGCCTCATACAAAACTATCATTTTACCCTTGGTGCCACACTCTTCCTCTTGTGTAAGGAGCTGAATGGAGAACAGGAGGCCGTACAGACAGACAGACAGACATACATACATACAGACAGACAGACATACAGACATACATTTATATATTAGACACAGTTTTGGAGAATGAAGCATAATGAATCAGGTCAGGTCAACTAACGTTAACAAGTGTTGCAGACTTTGTATCTACAATGGGGGTCACAAAAATCCCACAACTCCCAGAGCCCAACCACAAAGCTTTACACAAGTTTATTACATACTTCCTAGACACATTAGAACAATTTCAGAGACATGATTTTATGAAGCATAATGGCCAGCCATGTCACCCTCCTTCTCGTTACCCTCTCTGTCCAGGAAGCTTTCCTCGCTTGCGGGCACTGTGACTTCTCCCTCTTCTTGACAGGCCAGGAGCCTGTGAGGACTCAGGGATTCCCCTGTCCTGGTCCAGCTCAGGGCAGTTCACACATTCTCTCACTAAGCTCAGGCAACAGGTAAGTTCGGTTAGGTTCGTATGAGGGGTGCTCTTTCATCTGCTGTTCCCTGAGACAGACAAAGGTGAGAAGTTAAAACTTCTGATGTCAACAGTTGAGGCCCAGTGGGGACAGAGAAGGCGGAAGGAGGAGAAGCTGGTTGGAGGCAGTTTCCTCCACCCTCTCAGCTGCCTTTGCTCTTCAAGACTCTAACCTGACCCTGTTAGAGGACACCTCTTGCTCTCCAGTCCCCAATACCAGACCTGCCATCGATTGCCCCCCCTCTGCTCAGGACAATAACCTTTAACCCTTAGCATCCTGGACTGAGACAGCTCCTTCCTGATTAGTTACCTACCTGGGAGCAGTGTCCAGAAGCCAGAGATGCTCATTAATACTTGTGGAAGACCTGAAGATGGCTAATGATGGGTAAATTCCTAGGAGGTCTGTTTATACCTAAGAGAATCCCCCCGGGCAGATCCATAGATGGCAATGGTAAGACAGTTTGCCTTACCGCTAATTCGGGTTTGCATGACTACCATGAGTGAAAGCGACATACCACCAGAGTCACCCAAGTCAATATCACTCATATGGTTTCAACTAGTTTCATTTCCTACTTCACATTGCTCAGTGTAGCAGGATAATGGACGGGAGAAATACACTATAAAAGCAGAGACAGCCAAGCATTCAAGAAGGGTGCCTAGGCCAGGCCTGGTGGTTCAGGTCTGTAATCCCAGTCACCAAGGAGGCAAAAGCATGAGATTCACAAGTTCATAGCCTGGCTGGACCACAGAGCAAGTTCAAGGTCAGCCTGAGCATCTCAGAGAGACCTCATCTCATAAATGTGTTTGTGTTCTAGGACTGGGCATATGTCTCAGTGCTAGTGTGCTTGCCTGGTGTGAATTAGGCCCTTGCCTCAACCTTCCACAGAAAAGAAGGGCATCATGAGGTACTCAGACTCTTGGTCATTTGAGAGGCTGACCTGAGCCAGTTTATCCCATTCCTTCTGGAAGTTAATGATCCTCATGTTTCCGTTGCTATGGCATCACAACCATAGCACTTTCAGATACACCAGGGATTCTTAACAAGCATGGCTCTGCCCCTTTGCTCTACAGTATTGAACCTTTTTATCATATACACTAAGTTTGTTGAGTAAGACTGGGCCAAGTTCTCTGTGCTTTGTACATCGTCTGATCCTCTCCAGAAACTCAGATGGGAGACCCTGTTATCATTACATTTTACAGATGATGTGAAATTGAGGCCATTCAAATGTCATACAGATGTTTAATGATAGAACTGGGATTTGAACCCAGGCAGTCCAGCACCAAGAATAAAGGTTTTATTCTTCTTTCAAATTATTATTTTCAAAGATGTCAAGCTACCTCCTATAGGATATGTCCAGGAATTCCAAACCCACCAAGAGAGCCTCAAATACCAAATGCACCATTCTATTACCCTGCCTTCTCAATGCTCGCAAGGTCTGCCTACGACTTGGTCTATTGGTAATACAACCATAAAAATCAGTGTTCCCCATAAAACCCTCAAATCTATTCGAAGGAGGGAGCTGGCAGCCCATTAGTAAAGATTATCAAGGAATTCCTTTGATTGACTTCTCAGCAAGAGAGAAATTTCCCGAGCCAGCACTTACCTCATCCATGGGCCCCTGTCCTCGGCATGCAAGCCATGTGAAAACCAAGCCCAAGAGCACTCCCAGTGCCATGATGATGTAGGGTATGTTGGTGACTATCAAAGTTGTGTTAGTCACGGACTTCAATCGACTTGCAGTCTCTTTGTCAATGAGAACACTCTAGAGGGGCAAGAAACAGTATTATTTGAGAACTATCTATCTTCTGTGTGTGTGTACATTTCAAACATCAAAATACAATTTGATTATGTCTTATATTTAAGCAGTTGTCTCGAAGACAATTATAACTCTTAACATAGATTGGAACAGAGAGAAAAGATACTAAGAAATGCTGAGATAATGTGTTATAGGTAAAATACCTCGTAGTATTGTTTTTGTCTGTTTGATTGCTTGGATTTTATTTTGAGATAGGGTCTCACTCTGTCTGTAATCCTGGCCAGGCTGGAACTCACTATGTAGACTAGGCTGGCCTCGAACTTGTTGCACTACCTCTGGAGCGCTGGAGTTACAGTTGTGTGCTGCCATGATACACTGCTTTTGAAAGTCATGGATCTTTTAGGAGAGGAAGACCTGGCTGGAGAAACAGCTTCCTGATTCACTGTGCTGAGAGGAATTCAGTCGCATGCCCTGCTGCCAACCACGCCCATCAACATGGCCTCCTTGCCCCCAAGTCCTTCTGAAATCATGAGCCACAATAAATCTTTCTCCCTAAGTTGTTCTGTCACAGTGACACAACAGTAAGTAACATAATATCCTTTGCTTGGCTTCAGATGGTTACTTCAAAATTCATGTCATCTTTACTTCATTCTAGAAGTGTCTCTGCTACCTCAGGCCTGACCCAGGAGCTTTTGTTACTCTCCCCAGAGCCTAATCTGTGGTCCTTGTAGCCAGCATAACTGTTTACCTGTTTATGTGAGTTCCTTGAAGGAAAGACATCTCAGCCACCTACACCCTGGGGAGAGCACCCAGTATACAATAGGTGCTTAATTAATACTGGCTGGCTGAATGAATGGGTGAAACACTGCAAAAGGGTCATTTCTGTCATGAGTCCACATCACGGTCACCAGTCTCCACAAAAATGGTTCAGATGAGTTGTGCTAACAAGAATTGGAGGGAGAATTCCTAACTGAGGAAAACGCTCTAGAACAACATTTTAGTATGAGACAGGGGTTCCATCACTCAGTATGATAGGAGAGGCGTCAAATGAGCACAAGTCCCTAAGAACTAATCCTGCCTAGTTTGCACTGACCAGGGGAGGGTTCTGCCGCAGATCTTTCTGTAACTGTGCCAGGCTTGTCAGAGTGGGGCTTCCTCTGACAGCAGTCTCCAGGGTCACTTCCAGGCCTAGTGTTTTCGTTCCTCCCCCCACTTCAGCTCCTCTCCCCCTCCCCTTTTCTCTTTCCTTCTTCTTAAGACAGGATCTCACTAGGTAGCCCTGGCTGGCCTTAAACTCACAGAGATCCACCTGTCCCTGTCTCTTCTCACAGTAATGGCATGTGTCACCATGCCTGACCTTGGTATGTAATGTTTGTTTTTTCGAGACAGGATTTTTCTGTATTGCTTTGGAGCCTATCCTGGCACTCGCTCTGTAGACCAGGCTGGCCTCGAACCCACAGAGATCAGCCTGCTTCTGCCTCCCGAGTGCTGGGGTTAAAGGAGTGGGTCACCAATGCCCAGCCCAACCTTGGTATGTAATTTTAAGAACATTTTATCTGTTTGTTTGTTATTGTGTGGCTGTTGTGGCGTGTGTGGTGTGTCTAAGGTAAGAAGACAGTTGATCCCCTTATCTACCCTGTGGGTTCTGGAGACAAACTCAAGTTCTTCAGGGTTAGCAGCAGGCACGGTCACCTGCTGAGCATCTCATTTGCCCCTGACATGTGACTTTCACAGGTGTCTGAAGCTGTCAGGGCTTCAGTGGAGGCAAAGGCTTCACGGGACAGAGCCTGGAGAGCTTTGTCACCTCTGCAGCTTGTTTCCCACAATTCAGCACCTCAGAAGGGTGTTACTCAGCTGGTGCTCTTGAGACGGAAAATGTCCAGACAAACTCAGGCACGGGCCCCTTCCACAGGTATCAGAGAGGGCTTTTCTGGGGGCAGTTTATATTTTAAAAAGTCACCCCTGAGGCTGGAGAGATGGCTCAGCCCACATGGAGCAGCTCACAACCCCCTGTAACTCTGCTTTAGGGGGTCAGATCGGTGTCCTCCTCTGGACTCTGTGAGCACCGACATTTACACTCATACATAATGTACACATGAACACACATAATTAAAAATAAATCTTAGCTGGACAGTGGTGGCACACCCCTTTAATCTCAGCACTTGGGAGGCAGAGGCAGGTGGATCTCTGTGAGCTCAAGACCAGCCTGGTCTACAAAGTGAATTCTAGAATAGCCAGGGCTGTTACACAGAGAAACTCTGTTTCAAAAAACCAAAGTAATAATAATAAATAATAAATCTGTTTTTTAAAAACCACCTGTTCCTCTTTTCATAACATAAGTGGCATACCACTTCAACAGTAGACATCATAATGGAAGTACCCCAAGCTTGGGCCACTAAAACATCCTTCCTCCTCTCTTTCAGGACTTACCTCATTGAGATACATCACTGGGAAAACCATAGTCCTAATGTTTCCCGTTTCACTACAAAGACAAAGGATGGCATTAGTTCATAGACATCCTCATGCAAACATCTCTCACCTGGAGAGACATGTTCACCAAAAATTATGGTACACTTAATTCACGCAGTTACCTAGAACTGACTGTGGACTTGTTAGTTATCTTCAAAGACACGTAAATCAGAAATCAAGACTACAAATTATCAGCCAGTCAGGCAAAACTGCACATCTATGTAGTATTTTATCGACGCATAAGACACGGAATGCAACCACCCAAGGAGCACTGTTCAGAGGGGATGACACAAGCTGCCACTTCGGAAGTTTCTAGGCCACCTTACCTATCTCTGCAACAAGAGCCTACTGGCCACTGTTTGCCCACTCTGTACTCAGTGTTTTGCAGGCTTTACTTTGCTCAATTCTTACAGCAGTCACGTGCCATGGGGCTCTCATTATGCACAGGGTGGAAAGAGGGGAAGTCTACGAATAGAGATGAGGCAGTATGCCTAAGATCACCGTGGGTGAGTAGTGGAACCAAGATTGACATTCCATTTTGAGTCTACAGTTCTAGCTCTTAACTGATATAATACACTGCCTCAAAAGCACACAGACAGGTTCTAGAGGACATCCCTGTAAGCCATGTTTGCTTCTTAGAAGGAACCCATAACATGGAATTAAATCCAGAGAGTTCAATGGGGGAAATATATCATTACAGATACATGGATGGATGGATGGATGGATGGATGGATGGATGGATGGATTGGATTAGATAGTAGGCAGATGATTGGACACATAGACAATACATGAGTTGTATTATGTCCTTGAACTTGTGATCCTCCTGCCTCAACCTCCTGCGCAGCTGGGATCACAGGTCTGTGCTGCCAGGCTCAGTAAGATTTTTAACCTTTTCAAAACAGTTAAAGATTCTTACACTGGAGGGCTTAAGGGATCCCTTATCACCTTAATGTTTTTTTCTGTGAACTCGAGTGTAAAGTATATATACATATCTGATACCTTCTATTCTAATAATATATAGGAAACTCAGTACCTATAGAAGGTTTACCAAAATTATTTATTTGATAGATATTTTCTCAGAGCTAAGAAAAATCCCACTGGCAAGTCTGGGCAGGATGCTATCCTTGGGAATTCTGACTAAAGAGTTGCTTATGATGAAATGGATTCAGCCTACTGCAACTGTCCAGATGAGAGCCTGTGGTTGGTTGAGCCTAAGCGCAGGCAGAGGGAGTACGAAGAAAAGACTTGGAAACTAGGGTCAGGAGTGCAGGGCATCACTAGGTGAGTGGATAAAAGCCATTCTGGAGCCACACAGCCTCACCAAAGGTGTGAGTCCCAGAAAGCCACTTAAGTGCTGTGCCTTAGTTCTCTCATGTCTAAAATGAGGACAATGTAAAGCTATAAGCTGATGCATGTAAAGTGCTGATGGCATCCCCTGATCCATAAACAGTACTGCTTAGAGAGGGATTAGTACAAGGCCAAGGCCAAGGTACCATGGAAATTGAGAACATGCCCCATTGGATGGACAGACAAGTCGAGCCATTAGAACTAGGCTCTCCCCGCCCTGATACCATGCCTACCTGGCAAACCCCACCTCTACCTCTGTAGGAAGAAGCAACACTTACACAATGCCATCTATTTTTTTAACATAAGTGTTGATTTGGAATCTCTTGGCTGCTCTTAAAATAATTCCAGTCAACTGCAGACAAAAAGAGAGAAAAAGTTAGTATTTTTTTTCCAGCCACATTTTCAACAGAGTGTAACTGTGTGGTTCTTACCCACAGGGACCCATTCACCGTGTTTGGCAGGCAGAGTGAACAAGGGAAAACCGGTCCCCCAATGGAATCACAAGTACTAATTGTGCTGGGTGGACTGGACTTAGTGGGGGTGTGAATCCCCGGGAATCTGCTAAAATGCAGATTCTGATTGGTAGATCAGGGTGGAACACGAAACAAGGCATTTCTAGTATGTTCCCAGGATACTGCCACATGGTAGAGCAAAGAGTGGAACACTCCATCGGAGGCCACAAATTCCATGTTGGGTGTGGACGTCTGGGCGGCTGTCCAGAGCAAAGAGGAAGATGACTTCCGAGTCCAGAGTGCAGAAGGCGTGAGGCAGCAGCCCCAGATGTGTGCTGTCACCCATCCCTGGTGACGAGCCCTGCTCTGTTTGGCTGATGAAAGGGACTAGATGGCTAACAGAGAAGTACAGTCACACCTCAGTGCTCGGGCTGCAGCTTAGTTGGCACAGTGCTTGTATAGCATGAGTGGAGCACACTGTAGCCCCAGCTGGCCTCGAACTTGTGACCCTCCTGCCTCAATCTCCTGGGTAGTTGGGATCATAGGTCTATCCTGCCAGGCTCAGCAAGATCTTTGACCTTTTCATTTAGCTTTTACAATGAGAGACTCCTACATTGAAGGGATCCCCATTACCGTAACATTCTTTTCTGTGAACTCAAAGTATATATACATATCTGGTACTGTCTACATTAATAACATATTGGACACTCAGAACCTATAGAAGGTTTGCCAAAAAAACTAATAAAGCTAACATTCCCATTTAGATCTGTGCATTCTAAGCAGAGAATACACAAGTGAGCTATAATTCTGAAGGCAAAATGCATTTGTGTCCTGTCCTGCAGCAGACTGACCAGGTTACATGGGCCCAGTCTCAGCTGCCTTTGGTGACTGAATTTGTACCACTGTTTTCATTTCATTTTGTTATGCTGGATTGTACCTAGGGCCTCATGTAAGCTACGCAAGTACTCCACCGCTGAGCTATAGCCCTGGCCCCATGGTTTTCCTTTGCTTTCTTTATCTTCTTTAAATTGGGCTTACTGGTTTCTGCAGATTTGATCCAGGGAGTTAGGACTTCCCATTACAGGCTACGGACCACAATGCACTCCAATCTCCTTCTGCCCACTTAAATATCCACAGAAAACGGTGTGTCTCTTAACACTTTGGACGAAGAGAACCTGCACACACACAATAAGACACGAGAAAGCTGCACTCACAGGGTTAATGTCCACAAATGATTCATGGTCTTCCTTGTTTGGGCGCATGCCTTTTATAGCAGAAACGAACTTCTCGTCAGCTTGGTAAAAGTGTGGGAAGGACATGACAATCGGCACACCTGTGAAGTAAGGGGCATAGAAATGAATGAGGCTGTTTTTAAAATCTCAGATGAATACACAGTTCCCAAAGGAAAAAGACAAGCCACACCCAAGTGAGCTCAGCCAGGCTCACTGCTCTCTGTAGCTCCTAGTTCAGTATTTACACTGCATTTTCTGCCACCTGGTGTATCCCACATTGTCTTACTGGACCTCTTATATCGAAGTCCAGGTCACATTTATACTTAAACACACAGTTACTGAATCTTTAAGTATACTTTTTTATCTATTTGTCTGTGTTAAATAATGCTCCAAAGCACTCTGTAAAGAGAAGCCTTTTCCTTGCTAGCTGCTTGGTTTTTCCCCACCAGTTGCCTGGGCTCTGCCGCGTTGTAGTCCCCAAATAACACACAAGACGCTGTATTAATTATGAAGCTGTTGACCTTGTTTGTTTCTTACTGGCTAGCTCTGACTTAAGTATTTATCCCATAATTGTTAATCTAAGTATTTCTCTTACCGGAGAAAAGTTCCGGACATCTTACTTCTCTGGCGGGCTACATCGTGACTCCCTGTGTTTCTCCTACCCAGAGTCCTCCTGGACTCCTAGTCCCACCTATCTTGCTTCCCTATTGGCCAACAGTGCTTTATTGACATATACACAGGACTTCCCCATCAACAGTCTATAAATCTAAAGCCCTAATCCTCATTTTTGCATTTGAAGAAGCTGAGGTTCCCAAAATTCACCAGGATTTCCCAGGGGCTCGTAACCATGGAGCAAGTGTTCTAACTGGATGAGAAAGTCCCACCTCAGAGCACACTTGATTGACAATGAAGTTTTTGCTGTTGTTTTGTTTGGGTTTTTGCTGGTTGTTTGAGACAGGGTCTTATTCTGTGGCTCAGACTGGCCTGGAACTCACTTCATAGACCAGGCTGACCAAGAACTCTCAGAATTTCTCCCTGCTTCTGCTTTCCAAGTGCTAGGGTTACAGGTGTACACTATCATGCCTGGCTTTTGATTTTGAAAGAAAGAAAAACAAACTGTTTTACACCAGTGAACCTTTCTCTCCTGCATAGCATAATGTAAAAACAAGTTTAAGAGTCTTCCTTGTTCTTCATGGTGGCACATACCTGTCAGCTCAGCACTGGGCAGGAGGTTTAACAGTTCAAGGCCAGCCTTGGTCACACGGTGAACAAGGCCAACTTGGGTTAAATGAGAACATGGCTCAAGAAGAAAAAAAAATATGTAAAGATTGTGTGGCTGTTACAGAAGCAAGGCCACCTCCATGTTCTGTTAACTTTTGTACTTCCTTACTTAGAAGACTAAGAGTTCCACTCTTAATTCCTGGTGAAGGCGAGTTAAGCCAAACAGGACACTGGAAACATATTCACAAACAATGCAGATGCCATTCAGAAATCCGCACACTTCCCAAACTTCATCTGTGAAGGAAAACTGTCCACCTATGACAGATTGCTTTGACAAAACCTCCAGTCCACATTTGGGAGTTCCAAAAGGTGAAGAGGAAAACACTGCGCTAAGAGGTCTGAAGGCTGCAAAGCCCAGTCTTTCTTTGACTCTGGCACCAACTCCTTCAGGAAGAAGAATACAGCCAGAAATGTATGCCTCCACATGGGTAAGACATCAAGTACATTGCTTCAGGAGAGATAAGAAGGACTATGTCCCCGTTCACTGTCAGAGCACTGGGCTCCTCTTGGTCACCATCTCATGGGAATCATCCTTAGAACTTGTTAGTGTAGGACGTACAGGCTGCTGTATCCTCGTATGTCTATTTTAATATCTCTCCAGAGAACCCTGATGTAAGGTTTGTGGGCTGTTGTGAAAAGGACAAGGAGGGTGGGCTGCTGTCCTCAGATTTGTCCCAAAGGAGATTTTAATGCCAATTAACAAGAGAACCAAGTTAGTGCACCACTTTATTTTCAAGAAAGGAGTACTGTAACTTAGGAGAGAGGGTTGCCGTGATGGCAACTTCTCCAGAGGAACTTTAAAGAGGGTCAGGCATGGGAAGCCCCACACTGGGGAGGCTGAATCAAGAGGATCACTGAGTTTAAGGATATCCTGGGCTACATATTGAGTCTGAGGCCAGCCTCTGGACTATGTGGTGAAGATTTGTCTCAAAACAGCAACAACTATCCCACACACTAGAGATCCTAGGGACAGCTGGACTGTATAGTTGAGTTACAAGACACCAGAACTACATAGTAAGACCCTGTCTCGAAAAAGAAACAAGAACAAAAACAAAACAAAAAAAGAAGTACTAGCAAAGAAGTACTTAGAGAAGTTTCATAAAAGCACATCCTCTTTGCTCTGTTTCCATAGTGATAAGATGGAGATATTAAGCTGGGCACATCATCCCAGGACCCAGGAGGCTAAGACAAAAGGATGGAGAGGAATGCCATCCTGAGCTATACAACAAGACCCTGCCTCAAAGCAAACAAAACCAAGAGCAAAAAACAGAAAAAGAAGACACTGCATACCACTCAGGTAAGGCTCTGTGGGCAATTCTGCTGTGACATCTGACTGTTGAAAATAACTTTCGGGGCTGGGAGATGGCTCAGTGGTTAGGAGCAATGGCTACTCTTCCAGAGTACCAGGGTTCAATTCCCAGCATCCACACAGCAGCTCACAACTGTCTGTGACTCTAGTTCCAGGGGGTCTGACACTCTCACACAGGCATACATGAAGGCAAAAATCACCAATGCATAAAAAACAAAAATTACATATATTTATATATTATAGTTTATTATATAAAAGTTAACCTTCAAGACAAAAAAGGACACCATCTGTCAGGTACAGGGTTGATGATTCTCTCTCATTCACAGAAGGGAACAGAGAGCTGAGGCATCAGGAATCAGAGAGAGAGAGAGCAAGGTGCTCAGAGAGTAGACACAAGCCTGAAGCCCTGAGGTTGACCTTGGGAGCCCACACAATGGTGGGAAGAAAGAGCCGACTCCACTGAGTGTCCTATGAGGCGACATGTGCGCCATGGCACGCATGCTCACCCATTATACACACAGCAACAACACATTCAAATTAAAAAGAAAAGAAACACTGGGACACTCATGATGAGAGTTTCACACTAAATCTGCTTCAAAGTCACTGGGAATCTTAGCCAAGGTATGTGCTACTAAAACTACTGAGTTTTAAATTTTTTCATAGGTATTGTCATCCTCATTGTCATTGCCGTCACCATCCACACAGGTGATAGCTATGTAGCCCAGGCTGGCCTTGGGCTACTATCTTCCTGTTTCTACCACCTGGTGCGGGGATTGCAGGCACATGCCAAAATATTATTCTTGAAAGGTTGGGCTTGCACTCTATATTAGGTTGGTGACAAACTTTCTGTTGCACACCCCTGTCTGCATTCTAGACACCTGCAGCCATAGTCTCTCTAGAAGTTCTTACCGTTCTTGCAGATGCTGACGTTCAGCACTCCCGAGTCCATGCAGTTTCCTTCAGGTATGCAGAAGCCGGCATTTTCAGAGGTATTGGCTAGTATTTCTGCAGGCACCTTATACCGAAAAGCAGGCAGTCCCTCCACAGTCTCAAAACCACTGAAAGTTATATGTACCGACCTGATAGGAGGGAAGGATACAAAGTCAATGTAGGAATGTAGTCTACTGGTACAATGGTTGCCTAGCACCCGTGAAACCCTGGGTTCAAATCCCAGCACTGCATAAACAGGGTGTGGTGGCTCACATATGTAACTGTAGTACCAGGGATGGGGAGGATGAGAAGCTGCATCAGGTCCCTGGCAGGTTTGAAGCCAGCCTGAGATAGATGAGCCTCTGTCTCCACTATATGTATGAAAGAGAGAGAGAAAAAGTGTGAGGAAGGGGAAGAGGGGAAGGGAAGGGGAAGGGAGAGAGGTAGAATGTTAAATCACTTGCCCAGGGCTACACAGCTGCAAGCAATAGTGTTAAGACCAAGTCAACAGCTACCCTGTGGAGTCCATTTTCTCTCAATGTGCCTCCAGCATGTCACCGGTACCTGTGAACTCCCCTGCATGGTGAGTGCATCTAGATCCCTCACGCCTTGTCCTGCAGTCAAAGAGCATATGTTTCAAGCTCCTACCTGCAGAAGTCAGACGGGAACACGTAGAGGACCTCATCCTTGGTTATCAGTGGATGAAAAGAATCTCCATCTGTCCCGTTAATCATATTGCACTCGTCTGTGGTCCACCAGTCCAGTGACCTGGAGTTGATAAGTACAAGAAAGAATAAAGATGATCAAGCTGGATTGTAAGATCTCTCACTGGTCGGTACCGTCCCAGGTATAACTGAGGCTGGCTACCTCAGCATCTTATTCATAAGCAGACACAAAAGTGCTAGAATAGAGAAAAAAAGTAGGCTCCAAACCAAAATCACTTTTGATAAAAAGCCACAAATTCCTGTTTCCTCTTCCAAAAAGCAGTGTATCCTGCAAGGTGTTTAGAAATACTGATTTAGGGACCAGCAAGATGGGTCAGGTGATAAAGACCCTATCCTGTAAGACTCACAACCAGAGTTCAATCTATGCAAAGGTGGAGGAGAAAAACCAAGGCCACAAGGTTGTCCTTTGATCTCTGTGTGTACACTGGGGCACATTATCCCCCATTCCACATCATATACAAACACAACAACAATAGAAATACTGATTTACTTAAAGCAGTAACCCAAGTAGGCATTAATAACAGCCTTGCTCATAGCTAGGCCAGGGACAGATGGACTTTGGATAGATATATCCCATTTTTTAATATTCATGGAAGACCACTGACTACTCTCGTAATAGTTCTCACTTCCAAAAATAACAGGCTTGCCTAGGACAACAAGAAATGCTAATACTGAGTTGGTGTCACATATGGAAAGACAATTCAAGCATGCTATTGCACACAGTGGATTAGACATTTACTATCCCCCCAGGTCCTTGTGTTGACGTCCTGCCTCTGTCAAGCGATTAGGTCATGAGAGGGGAATAAATAGCAATTCTCCCAATTTTAGGTCCAAATGGTACTCTAAGTTCCTGCACTGAGGGTGTTTGCAAAGTGAAAACAGGAAATAAAGCTTGATAAAACATGGAAGGAAAACATTCAGACAGCCCATAGCACATTCAAAACACAAGCGAACAGCTCCCTAGACAAAAAGACTAAGTATACAGCGGTAAGTAGAGCTAAAATGATGCTGTTCTGCATGCTCGAGGTCAGGAGACCCAGGAGAAAGAAGCAGAGGTCAGTTTCTGTGTTAATAAGGACAGAGAGTGTTCCACCAGGGGCTTGAATGGGGGTACAAGGGGCAGAGATTCCCTACTCACCAAAGAAAGCAGCATCTACCTGCTACTCAGGTTTCATTCTGGTGGCTGGGGAGTGGGAAGATTCAGAAACAGCCTCAGAGCAGAACGGGAACTAAGCAGTCATAAGGGGAGGTGCACCCTGATACACTGGCTCCTGACTACATGGAGGTCAACGGGTACATTAGGAGAGATGGGGGGAGAGATAGAAAGACACACAGACAGACACACAAACATACAGACACACACACAGACAGACGCACCCGAGACTAGCTTCCCAAATGAAACAATTGTGCCAGCCATTTTTCAATCGAAACTTAAAGGATACAAAACAAAGTCACAGGAAATGGACTCAGGCTAATTCCATAAACGTGTGTGCTTGGCGTTGCAAAGTGAAACAGTCACACTAGTAAAAACAGCAGGGCTAGGGTCTGGAGAGATGGCTCGGAGTTTAAAAACATTCGCTGCTCTTTGGAGATCCGGGTTGGGTTCCCAACATCCAAATGGTGGCTCACAACCCTCTGTGCCTTTAATTCCAAGGAATCGAATACCCTGGGCATCAAAAATACACATAGTGCACAGGCTCACATGCAGACAAAGCAGTCATACATCTAAAATAAATAAACCTTTTTTACATAAAAAAACAATGGAGCTTGATAATGCAGCTTAGTGTGTATCCCTCGACTGATGTGCGTGAGGCTCTGAGTTTGATCTCCAATACCATTAAAAGAAAAAAAGGTAAGTGGGTGGAAATATGACAATATTAAAAGAAAAAATGAAACAAAATCAAAAAGATTGGAAAAATAGAAAACTTGGATACAAAAATGCAAAAAAATCAACAGGGGTAAAACTCTAGACTATGTAGCTGCAGAGAAAAGTCATGAATTAGAAACTCATTCTAGGGAGTTTACATAAATTCAAGATCAGAAAATGAAAAATGTAATAATCAAGACACAGAGACTGGATTACGAAGAATTCAGGGACTAGGAGGTGGGGAAATTGGGCTGAGGCAGACAAGCATAAGTGACTAGTTAAGTAGTAACCTGGACTCTACTTGGCTGGGCTACACACACACACACACACACACACACACACACACACACACACACACACACACACACACACAATCACCAAGCAACCTGTTGGCAAACTTGGAGCCCAGACTCACATCCCATTAAGCAATGGGAAAAAGTTATTTCCTTAGCAACCCATTAATAATACCTTGTTTCCATTCCAACATATCCTGAACTATGAGCAGGGGGACTGATCTGGTCCTCTAAGTACAAGTTTAGGAAGAATCCGCTATTTATTATCTTATGCTTAGGTAGAGTTGGGCTTACATATAATTACAATCAGATACATAATGGGATAGGACATGAAAGAAGAAAAGAGTTCACAAAACAATCTGTTGATTAAAACACACACACACACACACACACACACACACACACACACACACACACAATGATCCTTAGCAATCATGCAACCTCTTGAACCAAAAAAGAGAGTGCCAAGCAATAACCTGGTCCCTGAGTGCCTCCTCTCCTGTGGCCCTGCTGGGCTTCTCAACATCCTTTCATGTTGATCTTTACTATCATTTTGCATTGAATAAGTCTCCTTGCTGTTTGCAAATCTATGTGTGCTTATTCCAATGCTTTGACTAAGATACCAAGAACCTAAGCCCCAACCACCTGTAGCAAGACTAGGGCATATGCCAGTCAGTGAATAGATAATTCCACCTGTAGCAAGACTCGGAAGTATGCCAATCATTGAAATAGTTAAGTGCTGAAAGTTTTCCCAAATCAGAAAGGCCAAAGGCCTTAGATTAGAATTGGGCCCCAGAGTCAAACAGAATCATAAACCAAATCTAGATGCACGTCAGTAAAATTGCAGAAGATCAAAGGCAAGATAAATGCTAGAGGTCAAGCCTCTGTGATGGCTCACAGGACAATTCCAGCATCCGAGGAGCCAGACAGAGGGGGCAAGAGCTTCAAGCTAGGCTGGAGCACAAAGAGAGAGCTTGATTCATCCCCAAAATAAAACAAAGACGCCGTGGCTATACCTCAGAGGTAGAGGCTTTAGCACACACAAGGCCTGAGTTTAAAGACCAAGACCACTAAAATAAATAAATAAAATAAAAACCATGGCAGCATATTTCTTTCAATCCTAGCATTCGGGAGGCAGAGGCAGGTGGCTTTCTGTGGTCTACATATGGAGTTCCAGGCCAGCGAGGGCTACATAGTCAGACTGTGTCTCAAAAGTAAAACAGACTCAAGGTGCAACGATGTGGATGTTAAGAAACTTGTAAAATTATTGTCTTATTTGGAAGGAAAAGTGAGAAAAATGAAAAAAGATTAATCATGAAAATCTAAGCATAGTAAAGAATGTAAAAATAAGTTCAAACATATCAAATGTATCTGTAATTACATCATGAGTATAAAAGGCTAAACCATATTATTATTGTTAAAAGGCTAAAAAAATAAGTGTTTGGGTATAAAACAAAAATTAGTTAATAAAATGTTTTAATTTGAAATATAATACTGAACTCGAATGAATTTCATCTTTGGAAAAAGTAATATAAACAATCTACGCTCGTGAAGTTAAAAGAGAGGTGGGCTGTCCCCTCCCACCAGAGGACACTGGTTTTAAAGTGTTTGACTACGGCTACCACACTTGATTACACAACCACCAAGGAAAACCAGCCACTTCATGGCTTCTAATCCATATCTGATTGTGGTAAGCCTACAAATCATCAGTACTTAATTCTCAAGGTGTTTTTAACCTCATCTTGATTTTTACAGTAATAATTTTAACAACATTTACATTTTTATCTAAAAGATAAACACAAACTTCTTCATTGCTGGGATCCAATTTATACTTTATACATAGCAGGCAGATGCTCTACCATTAGGCAACATCTCCAATGTTAAATCAGGGGAGGGGAAGGCATATTCTATTTAAATGGAAAATTGAAAAACTTACACTAGAAAATCTTATTATACTTACGTTTTTCCATTCCACTCCACAATTTTTGTAAAGTTGAGGTAATTGTCTTCTCCAGTTAGAAAAACATAGTCTCCATCATTAGTTCCATTTTTCTGAAAATAAGTGAACATCACAATTTAAAAAATGATAAAGTATGAACATTTAAACAAAAACCACTTTTGAAATACTATGATACTCAAATTACCCTGTGAAAGTTGTTTTCCTGTGAGGTGGGACATTCTAGGGAACACATATCCGGGCTGCTCTCCCAGAGCGAAGGAAGCAATGTCGGTGAGACTCAGACTTTCAGGACCCTTGCCCTCACAGAAGTTATATTTAAAACCTGCTTATAATTGTGTTTGAACAGCCTCTAACTTTTGTAAACCCTTAAGGCTTGGCCTCTGCAAGAGAGGAAGTGAAATGCTATTGTCTTATGCTTTGAGAATGAGACAGTGGGCAGTCACAGGCCAGAAGATGAGCAGAGTGCCCCACCTGTAACTTTATTCTTGGGGCTAATTTTATATATCACCAACTATTCATTTTACTGTCATTTCTTTCCCTCCCCCTCGAAAACCACTGTCTTATTTTCACAGCCTTTTAAAAATATAGGTCTCCAGGCAATGCTGGTCTTTGCCTAGAAAAAGCCATCCTCAAGATGCACCCCGTCTCGTGTGCCCTCCTCCCGTTGTGAACTGGGGAGAGGTTCTAGGAAGAAAACTTACCTCATAGAACAGGCCAAAGTTAGGAGAGATGTCAGGTTTGAAAATATGGACGAGGGACAAGATCTCATCTTTGTAGCCCCAGAGCAACTCGTGCACTGTGTGAGTCACAAACAGCTTCTGCTGGTAGGTTTTCAGCATGGCCTCGATGATTTCCTTGAGCAGGGGCATCTGGGCCAGCTCCACAACAGTCTACAGAGCAGAGGCAGGTTAACCAGTGTCCCCTCCAGAACTCCCACCTGGCTCTCTGCCTGCCCTTCTGCAGAATGGGCCAGAAACTGAGACGTTAATGTTTGAGACTAAACAGAAAATTCAACCAGTGACCTCCCTGTCTGTGTGTGGAGTAAGAGTTCAACTATGGCCCTTTCTTGGTGTGTGTGTGTGTGTGTGTGTGTGTGTGTGTGTGTGTGTGTGTGTGTGTATGTGTGTGTGTGTAGACTTCAAAGCCTTGCACATGGTAGACAAACCCTCTACCACTGATCTCTATCCCAAGCCCCAGGCCCCTTTTGTAAATTTTGAGACAGGTTCTCACTAAGTTGCCCAGACTAACCTTGAACTGACTCTGGAACCCAGTCTGGGCTTTTTAGTTGTTTAGTTTTACCTCAGAAAGGAGCTGGGATCACAGACCTGGACTACCAGATCAGGCTCATACCCACCTTAACATAACCATGATTTTAGAATTCTCGTTAGCAGGTTCTGAATGATGCCCAACATCACAGAGATCCTATAAACACCCAGGGACCCTTGGCCACGAGGAAGCTCACTTCTCCTAAAGCAGACTGGTGACTGGGCCTTTCAACTCTCCACATCTTTAGCAGCAGAAGAAGGAAAGATTTAGGATCTGTGCTCTTTAAGGTCCTGGGCCGCTTGAGTGTGGGAGCCTCAGAGGAAGTTGGTGTAGAGGATTAGAAGAGTTCCCTGGAGGACTAGGGATATGGCTCACTGGCTAAGGCATCCCCTGGCCCCCTACCCGATCATTCAGGAAGCCCAGAGTTTGATCCCTAGCACTACACTAAAAAGCAAACAAAGGAAGTAGGCTAGCCTGGACTAAAAGGGATCCAGTTTCAAGAAAGAAGGACCCCGGTTCTCAGAATGGCATAAGTACCAAAAAAATCCTTACTTGTTTGTGTAAATGCTAATCCTGAACACAAAGGAAAAATCTCAGAGACCTAATCTTTGAATGACTTTTGAAATGACCTTGTTCTACTGACCTCAGAAAAAAGTCTATGTCTACATACTTGATAAAGGTACAGACACATGAAAGGCTTGCTAGGCATTGCCGCTGGAGTGTACCTATAATTCGAGATTAGGCAGATGAAAGAAAGGAAATTGATACAGCCAACCAGAGGCCAGGAGCACCCCCCACCAACACACACAAAGTCTTTGTGTATGTCCATATTTTATGCTTGTTTGTTTGTTTTTATGGTGGTTCTGGGATTAAATTCAGGGACTCACCATGTTATTCAAGACAAGTCTCCCCCCATATCTACATTTTATCATAAAAGAATAGCTTTTAAACTACACAGAATCCCATCAGGCTTGCTGTTTTCCTTCCACAAGCCTATGATAACAATACTACGAGGTCCACTTACCAACAGAGGAATATTTATCGTTCTAATCAAGTCAACATTAGAGTCGCCAACAGATTGGTTTCGTTCAAAAACATATGCCTTATTGCTGACAGCCGATATGGTTGTTCCATTCTCTCCAAACTGGATGTTTGCCTTGTTCCTAAGTTCCCTAAACAAACAAACAATTGTTTGAAAATAGATACCACATTAACAAACAAAGCCCTCTGTTCAGTATTAAAGTTACATTTTTTCTGTATAACATTTCTCATAAAATGACTATGTACATATTAGAACCAAGACGCTGAAAGGGGATGGGGCCTAGGAAACACTTCTCAAAATTCTTTTCCTCCCAGAATCAGGGAGATATAACAAACAATGAACTCTTTTCTGAATTACAACTTGGTCCTAAAATATTTTCAATGCAGTTCACAGGTTCAATTTGTTTCAATCTGTATACTGGTGGCTTTGATTCCAACCGGAATTCAGTTGTAAATTTATTTTAAAAGTTGAGGTCATAGCCTGGAGATGGTGGCAGGCACACACCTTTAACCCCAGCACTCGAGAGGCAGAAGCAGGCAGATCTCTGTTAGTTCGAGGCTAGCCTGGTCTACACAGTAGCAAGACTGTCTCAAAACGCTTTAAAAAAAAGTGAGGTCTAAGGGACTGAGGGTATAGTTGTCATGAGCAAGGGGTAAGGGGAGGGGTAGAACAGAGAGAGAGAGAGAGAGAGATGAACTGGGGCCAACATAATATGTTGGAGTTCATTCCTGTTCCTGTACATAGTTCAAGTCAATCCCCCGAAATGAGGCATTACAAAATCTCTTAGAAAGACGTTGGTGTGTAGTATAATAGGTAACAATCGCTGACATTGATAATTACTTCTAAGAAGCTAGATGAGAAGTTTTTTCAGTGCTCCCAACACAAAGAAATGACAAGCATCTGAGGTGATGGATACATATGCCACTTAGTCAGAGCTAATCACTAAATATTTGCACGCTATAAATTACTGTGTCAGTTTAAAACCACATCTCTCAGAGTGCTTGGGCTGGGTGGGCGTGGCTGCTTGTGCCTGTGATCCCAGCTCTCAGGAGGCTGATGGGGTGGAAGAAGAGAGTTAGAGGCAGTTCAGACTCCATAGTGAGTTCCAGGCTAAAAAGGGAGGGGGCAGAACTTAGTATATGGCCTAGAGAGAATTCGAGGAAGATTTCACTGAAGGCATGAAATGTAAGACGTATCTAAGGTAATCAAAATAAAATAGTACTTTTAATGCAATATTTATTTCTTTCTAAATTTGGTGGAGCTTTAGGTTTTGTTTGAGATAGGATTTTACTCTATGGCCCTTGCTGGCCTCCAACTGAGGAAGCGGAGCAGTGAGCAGGCAATTGTCAGTTTGAAAGCAAAGGAAGCTGGTCCAGTGAAACTGTCACTCAGTCCCAGAAGTCCGGGGGCCAACGCGGTCATTGCCTAATGTCAAAATCTGGGACTTTGCTAAACATATTTTGTTTGTTTGTCTTCTTCTCTCAAGTCTCAGTTCATGAACCTAGAGGCCTGAATAATCTCAAGGCTAAGGCCTGCTCCACTTACGTTTATGTATATAACATGGATTGAGGCGATAACATTTAACATGCTGCCTTTATGGTTTACCCTGTGGAAATTTGAGGTTTAAGGGGCAACTGCGGACAAAGATGCCAATCAATTTCAGCCTGTAACCTGACTTGGTTTCTTAATAAAGTTCAGCAGGTCAAAGCTAAGGCTTTCCATTTTTATTCCCGTGGGACACTGACTCGGTCAGTCGACTCAGGGCAACCTCGTGACTTCCCTTAGCTACGTGGAGTCCTCCACCCACCATCCTATGGCATCACTGACTCGTGGCCTTTACAGACTGCTGTACAAGCAAAAAAAGACATGGCTTCTATTCTGCTGAGAGAGAGAGAGAGGAAGAGGGGGCCAGAAGTCTTCCTCTCAAGACAGCACGTGATAGGCTAAAGAAACCAAAATTTTTGCTCTGGCAATGCTTAGACAAACACAAAAAAGGGATTTTGACAATACCAACAAACCCACACAGCAACACACATGTGCATGTACACACACATACATACATGCCAGCCACCAGCAGATCAGCAAGTCAATGTGAAACAGTGAAGTTGCTGGTACACAGCAGGCTGACAGCAAGAAGGGATCAGATTTCTGCCAACTACATTTAGAGAAGGCCAAAGAACTATCTAGAACCACTGACAATAGCTTAAAATAGAAACAAAAACAATCTTGGGCCTAGACAATAAATCAAGGAATTGTATTTACAACTGCCTGGTATAATTGCCCTGTTTTTCAGTAGATGATAATAATTTCAGACTATAGTTTATGTTTGTTAAGCATCATGGTGCATCTAGTCATAAGAGAGAGTGAGGGCCACATCTGTAGTCCCTGTTCTGGGGAGGCTGAGACAGGAGAATCTTAAGTTTGAAGACAACCTGGGCTATACAGTGAGACTTGTCTCAGAAAAAAAGGGAGGGGAGGGAGGGAGGGGAAGAGGAAGAAAGTAGATGAAAAGCCTGATTCGATGATTCCTGCAGATAATTTTAACACTGGGGAGGCTGAGGCAGAAGGATTACTTGAACCCAAGAATCCAGAAATTTCAGAATAGCCAGGGCTACACAGTTTACATATTCCAAAGCTCTGTTAAAAACAACATCAAAAACCAAACAAGGAAAGGACAGAAAGAAGACCACACCACTTGCAGTCTCTGGCTCGAGAGACAGAAGCAGGGTTGCTGTAAATTCAAGGTCAGCCTAGAATACGCAGGAAAGTCCAGGCCAGCCTGGGCTGCAGAGCGAGACTGTCTCTAACACAAACAAAAGAAGGAAATGTTTGTGCTACGCTGTAAACTTTCCGACCACACAGGAAGAAGAATTTTAATTCCCTGGAAAGATCAACACCTGTGCATCCAGCGCCTCTGAGATGTTGGATAGATTAGGTTGTGCAATGCTGTTTGGAAATTGTTATCTTAATTAGGGATGGGGACACAACACAGCTCAGCATTGTAAGAACCCCCTTTCCTAGCCGCACCCCCCCCCCATCAATCTTCAATACCACAAGGAAAGCAAGCAAGCAACACATTTTAGTCATTCGGGTTCATCCACCCATCCAACTCTATCGAAATTCACCATGATTGATCAGTGACAGTTCATTGGATAGGTGTGTAGGGTGAGCTCCGCCTCGGGCTTTGTGCTCGGTCTTGTCTACACTGACATTGGTTGTGGGACTAAGAAGTCATTTCTGGTTTCTTTGGCTTCGTTTTATCTTTTTAGGGCAAGGCCTTAGCAAGTTGCCCAAGACTCACTCTGTAAGCTAGCTGGCTTCAAACATTCGGCCACGCCTCTCCCATCTCTGCCTCTCTTCCTGGGCATTACAGTGCGAGCCCCTATGCCTGCTCCTTGCAGCTTCTGATTTTATTTCGCCACCTGTGAGGTGGTGATGACAACCTGCCTATCTCCCAGAACTGCTGTGAGATTAAACCGTAGCACTCAGCACACTAAGTCCTTAGCAACCTTAGCCGTTGCCATGCAGCATCCAGTTAAGCTCTTGAGACGGAGGCTCTTAAACCCTGTCTCCTGTCTCAAAGAATCTACATCGAAGCACCAGAGACCACCATTTAAGAAGGGATACTGTGACGGGTTCTGAGACAAACATGTAGGTGCAGATATCTCTTCAACCTGCTGGCCTTGTTTCCTTTGTATGGACAAACCACGTGGTGTAGCTCTTTTTACTTTTCAGAGGGACCTCCATGTGTTTTCCATAATGACTATTAACTCAAATTCCCCCAAAAGTAGGCAAGGAGGAGTGAGACTTTTAAGGTGAACTATGATTTGGGGGGGGGTAGATAGCTGTAGAGCTGGCTCAGTGGTGGGCCTGGTTTGGTTCCCAGCATCCCCCAAGTGACTCACAGCTACCTGTATCTCCAGCTCTGGGGGGATTTGACACTGTCTTCTGGCCTCTGAGGGCACTTGCACACCCGTGGCATACCCTCGCAGAGACACATACACATAAATAAAAACAAATCTTAAAAAAAAGATAAAGGGGCTAGGGAGTCAGTTCAGTTGGGAAAGTGCTTGCCTTGCAAGTGTGGTGACCCCGTTTCAATCTTCTGAACCCACGTAAAAAGGCGGGTCACAGAGGCATCCATTCATAACCCCAGTGCTGGGGAGGCAGACACCGTGATCCCTGGGGTTCACTGACCAAAGAGCCTTGCCTAATTAGTGGGTTCTATTAGGTCAAGTGAGAGATCCTCTCTCAAAAAAGACAAACCCACTTCAGGTTTAGCTCTCACATTTTTTAAAAATTGCTGTCAAAGTAGGCATATAAGCCTAAAACAGAAAGGGGAATAGGGAGAAAAATCGAAGAAACATGGGATACTGTGTCTTTATCAAATACTTAACAAAAATATGAACATCAACTGAGCAGGTCTTAGACAAATTGTTTTTGATTCTTGAAACAGTAAGAAATAGGAAAAATATTTGATGAAACAGTAACCCTGCCAAAGGCTGAGATACCACAAGTCTGTAGAAATTATAAGCCAAGGTGTCACTGAGCAGAAGGCTCCCGGGGCAACTTAATTCTGGCCACTAGACCACCAGCTTCAGAAAACACAAATGAGGCACCACATTCCTTAAACTGGACAGACTGGTTCTTCATATGCATACCTGCCTTGTCTGCCAAGAATATTCAAACTCTGAATGGGCGATAACATGTTAACCCGCTGCAAACTGATGAGGTCGGTCTCTGCGGCCCAGGAAGCCACCCCACCTTCTAGAGTTCCTACCAGCATTCCCTACATAGGAAACAGAAAACAGTGGCAGCATCACCCACCCAACCCGGCTGCGCCCCAGGCCTCCTGGCACACCTTGGCTAAGAGTCAGCTGACCTGGCTGGGAGGAGTTGTTCATGCCTTTAATCCCAGCACTTGGGAGACAGAAGCAGTCAGATCTCTGTGAGTTCGAGGCCAGCCTGGCCTACATAGTAAGTTCCAGGACAGCCAGAGCCACACAGTAAGACTCTATTTTGAAAAAAACAAAGCAAAAAGTTAGCAGACCTGTAAAAACGAAACTCACTGAGCTGCCAAATGCTGCCGCAGGTGCTGTGGCAGGTTCAGTCTGTCAGCCCATCAAGTCA